GGACTCGCTCCAAGTGGTCAATATCCTTCTGATATTGGGGGCTCCACAGCTGGACACAGCACTCCAGGTGGGGTCTCACCAGAGCAGAGTAGAGGAGCAGAATCCCCTCCCTCGACCTGCTGGATACAGCCCAGGATACGGTTGGCCTTCTGGGCTGCCAGCGCACACTGCCGGCTCAGGTTCAGCTTTTCGTCCACCAGTTACTTTAGGCAAAAAATCAGTTATATAAGCCACCAACAAGCAACACCATCACAACATGCAGACTTGAAAGAACTCTGTGCTCCTTAAGATTCAATCACCAAATTTCAGTTAAATCAGCAAAGGAGGCCCTACATTAACCTTAGCAAGTCAGCTAGTAGCTTGCTATGTTGCCTGACTCTACTTGTTACAGGGAACACAAAAAGGCTCCAAACTCCCTTCATATTCAAACTCAAAGATATCACCAAATCACTAATTCCAAGAAAAAACCCAAAACAAATTACCCAATTTAATACTTCAAGAATATATTTGTAGTCTCCTCTATATCTGCAGATGAGAGATCTTTCTAAATTTATAATGCATTCACTGAGGAGCTACTAGGACTCTTCAAAACTACCCTCAAACCATCATTTCTGCTCCCATACTCCTGCCCTTCTCTCTCCCCCCACTCCTCCCCCTCCCAAAAAAAACCCAACCAACCCAAAAAACCCAACCACATGACACCAAGACAAAGACTTTTATGCTATCTAGTTTAAGCAAAGGTACTTCCCAGACTACGGTCTCCTTGTCCAGCTGACAAGTCATTAGACCACATCCCAACATCATACGGCATGAAAGCCTGTCTTCACTCTTCAGAAAAGAGCAAGATAAACATTCAGGATATCAGCTGAAAGACACTCATCTGTTTGATACTCACCCTTACAACATTGTCTTCAAAGCTAACACTGTCTCCCGATAATGTACACTGTTTATAGGCAGCAATGTGGTCCGAAACCAGGCCAAATGTCTTCATAAACTGCTCCTGAGATTTTAAATACTTGTATCCTCAAGCCTGTAAGTGATGTCTTCACTACCTGCCATGGAAAACTGGACTTCACCCTTGCTTCTGTCATAAATCCAAAACTATCACAGCCCCTTCAAATTGCTTTTGAAATATTGCTGTACAACATCATTTTATAGACATCACAGACAGTATCAAAAATATCACAGGCAACACAAAAAATGATAGCTTGCAAACCGCAGCAGAAAATCTACAGATCAATTGCCTTGCTTCCCAGCAAAAAGCATTCATTTAAAAGACAAAGAAACACCCACTCCATCATCAGCATATTTCTGTTCATTTTATAGAACATGAGAACTCCTCTCCCTCCACCCTTATCTAAACCATACAGTGACCTGTCTCTGCCCTGTAAAATAAGGTAGTTGTCAACTCCCTTCTAACAGTGCAGATGGGTATCAACCACCTCTTCTCTCAGTGGTTTAAATGGCACATGTCTCATTCAACTCAGAAAACTGTTCTCAATTCATGTTACCTTTAACATTTTCTCTTTCTATCATAGACTTGAAGAACAACTTGTGGGGTTAAAAGCCTGCATAATTTTTACAACTATAACTTGGTCTAATAAACTACAAGCTCTGGTTCAACTATGTCCCATTGTCATCATTCCTATAACCTGAGAATTTTATGTAAGCACACCCTATATAGTCTTTCTCACAGATGTCAGTGTGGTGTACAGCGAACAAACAGCCTACACTTGCAGGAAGAGTCATTTTTGCAGAGGGAAGAGGAACTTCCCTGCTCAAGAGATTTCAAGCAGTTTTTCTTTCCTCCTGCTGGCAAAAATAATTGTGTGAACACAGTTAACACAGATTACATTGAAAGCTCCCACAATTAATTTCCAAAGGAACCAAATGCATTATGTCTACAGCCAATACCACTTTCTCACTGAGTTTACGGTTATTTCACACGGGCACAATGACAATTATAACTAACACACCATATGGCTTTCTGTATTTCACATAATTCAATAAATTATCATCCCCTGAAGAGCTTAATATCTTAATTCCATATCAAGAGAATTATTTTGTCTTTGATATGATTTCCAGAATAATCGAGTGATATCAAGTTCTAACTTCTATCACAACCACATTCTACACATCCCGTGCCTGGTTCTGTTCCACAACGTGAATTATTTTCCTCTGAAATTCTCCTGCTTACGTTGACATCTATTCATAGAACTGTATGAGAAAGATTTCATAGTCTGTGGCTCTGCCTAGGAGCCCTGCAACACCAGCTGCCAGAGCAGCCTGAAAAACATGATGTCTCTCCTGTGCCTCTACAATTACCTCTTGGGCTGCAGACAGTTTGCTTGTCCAAGTGTATCTGACAAGGTGCTAAGGCAGACAGCATACTGGGCATGTGGAGTTCCACATCCAAGTTTAAAGGGAGTTTGGCCCTAAAGTTAGTGCCTAGGTAGTCCTTGGCACGGACTATCTTGCTCCTAACTGGTACTGAGAGATCTCATGTCAAATTATTGAAAAATCTATTATTAAATAGGCCCATTTTTCTCAAGATGTGTGAATTACAGTCATGTGGCCAAGTACGAGACAAAACAAAAAAAGTCATCAGCAGCTCAGCTTTTCCAGTGTGGGAAAGAGAGCATGGACTCCACTTGCCAAGCAGCAAAAGTTTATACTAGGCAAGAAGCAGGACACTGACTGCAACTGCTGGCAGCAGCTCAGTCCTGAAAAGGTAGTTAGCATTTACCAGTTATATTCTACCTTTATCACTCCATAAAACCAGTTGTTGCTATGCCCTAAAGCTGTCTCCAGCAGCTGGGTAGCCCACCACTCCTGCCTGACAACAGACAGGACAGGTAATCCTTTTACCTACAACTATCCAGAAGGAAAACCCAGAAATAGTGCATGCTATGAGAATTCTGAGCCTAAACCCCTCTGAGCTATCCTATCTGTGTCTGCCCTGAGTAGAGGGAACAACCAGAAATCACTTGTTCAGCTCCCACATGTCTGCTAAATCTGGCACTAAGAGACGGAATGGCATCTCAAATCTGCCAAGCTTCTCAAAACCATGTCACTAAGTATAAACGGAGCCACTGGATCTAAAAGAAAGTATGACCTAAGTTTTCCCCCACAGTTTTTGTAGAGGCACTCCTCATGGTTACTCTTTGCAGAAGAACAAGATGAGCAGGGCAAAACACCTCCCCATCCAGAGCCAGCAGCACTCACAGATAGGCAGTTTTTCAGTATATTTTTTCCCTTAAGTTCATCTGCTTTTTCTAGATGGAATCCTATATCCATCAAAATACTTGAAATTTCTAAATAGTGTAAGTTTCTATAGTTGAACACTGCAAACTTATTATTACTACTATATAATTATTATAATGCAAGTAGAAACTTATACTGCTGAAGATTTTTTTAATCATTGTTTTCCCTTAGCTGAACTACATATATCACAATTTTTTTCATTAATCACCTCATCAATGATTCTTCATGTTTTGCTCAGAGCTCGTTAATGTATTTCTGGTAAGTTTTGCCTCATGACAGGCAGATTACAACATAAAATATATTAAGCAAAAATGCTCATTATCTTCCCCATCTATCATATAATACTTCTCCATCTGCATCGTCAAACTATAAAAGGCCTTTGGTGGCCGCTCCATGCTGCTCAGCCATTTCAGGGGATTTGTGTTAACTTTCATTTGTTTTCTGATCTGATTTTCTTTCTTAAGGCATTCCTAATTTTTGGCTGTCAACTCTTAGCATAAAAAACAAATTTACAGGATGTTATTGATTTTATTTAGCTTAACTGCCATGTTTTTTGCTGCTCATAATTCATTGTTACAACAATTCAGTTGCCGAGATGTTCAACAAAATGTCATTTTCCTCTATAATGACAGAGGATAGTAAGTAGGAGGAAAAAAACATCTGTTGCTATATACCAAAGCACAAAATTAACATTAATAGTACTCAACATAAAGTATGTTTCTTTCACAAAGCTGATTTTAAACTAACCTTTAGCCCTTTTGTGTTTAAGATACGAAATGAAGTACTTGTTCATCTAGATCAAAATTTGGACTTGTGCAGCATCAAAGTACACTTGAAGTGGCAGACTGAGACCTAAGGGTGTGCCAGATGTTCTTACACCATCAGTTATGGTGCCAATGATCCCTGGAAGTCCACTTGCCCCTACATTAAAGAAATTTGTTGCTTTACCACTGCCTTCAACTGTAAGGTAATGCACACTACATCAAAGTCAGAAAAGAGCAGTGATAAACATGACAGATGGAATTAGACTTCATCTCAGATCAAATTATAGATAAAAGATCATGTTAGTTCCCCCAGTGCCTCATAATTTAACAGGTAACAAATGCCTACACAGACACATTTAAACACAAGTGACTGAAATTTAAGAAGCATCTCTAAGAACGCAGAGGCAAAAGCCAACTAGGATATCACAGGTCTTGCACATCATAATTTCAAATTCCAACGGCCTCTCATTATTTAGGAGAGCTACTTAATTTGTGTCTTTGGTTCCCGTTACTCACATCACTGCAATGTCTCTTTTAAGCAATAAAGGAAACATTGGCAGTTACCTCAATTCCAAAGGCTTCCACTCTGAATACTTGAGAATGCTATGGGATGTGACAAGTTTCTATGTTGGTCTCAGTGACTTCTACTGTACAAAGAGTAAAATTACAGGGTTTCTTTGGGATATTATTTGTAGGGCCTCTGGAAATAGTGCCACAGTTGTCAATTACGATAATATCTTTCTCCCACTTTCTTGCTAGTTACATTTTGCTATGTGGAAAAACAAACCTAGTGCTATCACTCTCACCAGCAGGAGAATTTATTAGTCAACCACTAGACTCCTCCTGCCTCAGGATATCTGTTTCCTAACTGTTATTTTTGCAATTTTAAACAATGTCTGTGGCTAGCAAACTGTGAAGAAATACAAAAAGCAAATCCAATTTAAAAGCAGAAGACAAACTGCTGATACTTACCAAACTATTCCCTGAGCCCCAGAGCCAATAGGTTTCAAGTTCTGGTAGCGTTTGAGAACTGTGAAGGTCGAGTCACCTACTTCCACGCTGTAGAACTGGTTGTCAACTTTGCTTTTGCTCATGTTGTAATGTTTGGCAATATATGACACATCCACTTGTTTTCCAAATCCCTGTTGTACAGAAGAAGGGAAGGGGGGAAGGAGTGGAAAACACACAGAAACCAAGGCTGGTAAAACATCGGATACTGATAAAACACAGCCTAATTTTGCAATATAAATTCCTGTCATTTTAGGCGTTCATTATGACATTTCATTGTCATAGATCTACATGAATTCACAAATGCTCTCAAAGACTGTATCAAACCTGCTTTCACCCAGGAAGTAATTGTAAAAAGTCACTGATTAAAGAAAGCTAGTGAATGCTCCAGCTGATATTCATGGCACAGTTACTCTCAAGTCCTGGTCTCTGCTTGCCATTACTGCTTCTTTAGGACTACTGGCTTACACATCCATGCTGATTCTGTCCTCATTTGTACTGCAATAAATATTTTATTTTAAAATGAGAAGACCTACATCAGTGTAGAAGTAGGACAAGAGACACAGGAATTAGGCTCTTCATCATTGGTCAGATAGAGCAAATAAGTCTATTCACATGAGCATATGATAAATGCCCTGAGCCCCTTTCAAGAGGAGTTGCAAAAGAAACAGCAGTTTATGAGACGAACTGTGACCTGACAGGGCTCAGTATCATGGAGAATATTCAGTAGCTCAGGAGATCTTCCCAAGTTCTGGGTTCCTAAGAATAGAAGAGTTGCTCTCATGACCTGACAAATGCATTAGTCCTAAGTAATGGCCAGGACAAATTACTGTAAACTTTTTATGCTTGCACCGAAGCTAGCACTGCAGAGCTGTAACCTCACCCGAATTTGTAGAGTAATTATGCAGAAGGTGACATTATAACCATTTTATGACTACTAGTGAGCTCAGTTCCCTGAAGACTACGGAGCTAGGTGTATAGTAATTTGAGATAAAAATCAGAATATAGTGTTTGTAATTTAGGGTTGTATACTACATGATGCTGAACTCAGGATGTAAAAGTTCAACACAGTACAACAAATCTGTCCACAGGTAGTTGACAATTCACTTACGGAAGTCAAGATGTTTCCAAATGGTTTCTACAAGGGGAAGCAAAAACTAAACATGCCTCTCTCTGCCTGTGCATTTATGTTCAGTGCTCACAAACACAGCTTCTAAATTTTCTTACTTTCTCTATTATAAACTGCATTCTCAAAAAATATCTGAATAATCAACCATGTTATGTGACTAGGGACTACCGAGCTGCATTTTGATGGACCAGGGAAAAATATAAAGTCAATCTGGAGTCTATTATTTTTTCAGCTTAAAAAGGACATGATCCCAGTGTTCCACGAAGCTAGACACTGAAAACAGATAACTGGCCTTGATGAGAACTTAGATTCTCAGGTTTGCCTTAGGATGATTAATATTCTTTTTCTGTCCTTTATCTCACTGGAAGGCCCATCGTCACTGGACAGCATTGGTTAATCCTAAACACCTCATTTAAAGACTATGAAACATTTTAATAAATGGCACTGTTTATTCAAACAGAAAATCTCATTTCAGAAAGGCAATCTGAAGCTTTACATTTACTTATTAATAAGACACAGGGCAAGGCTTTTTTTTTTTCTTTCCCAAATGCAGCAAGTGAGAGATTTATGGACACTGAGACAGTGCAAAATTCAAGATTACAGAGAGTGAAACGACTCTGAAAAAGGTTTGAATTTGTCTCATATGAAGACAGAGAGAATGCATCCGATTTGCACTGCGTAGCCTTAGTCTTAAAACTCCTTCCATTACGTGAAGAGAGATGCATACATTTGGCTAGCTCAGCTATTCGTAGCAGACCTGGAATTGAGAGGCTTTATTTTAATAATGTGCTCCTGATAGACAGGAGATAATCACAGCTCCCTCTGGCTAGACAAACACATTTGCAGTGTGTTTTTTTCTGATGTCATTATCAGAACAATGCAGACGATATTCAGCATTAATACCCGTTACTCTGAAACCAGTGTTATATGAAGTGTCAGCATAAAAATTGCATTCCTTAGTGAGCCTGACTCGTAGCCAGCTCTTCTGGAAGTACAGATACAGCGACTTTTTTAAACAAGCCAGATGACTGTGTTAAGGCTTGGGTGAGCCAGGCATGCCATAACTTGTTTGCATCCTCACTCTTGAGCTACCCAGCAGTTTGTCACATGGTGTGGAGCTACATGGGAAAAGATACTTTATCCCTCTACACTTAGAACCTTGTGCACATCAAAATTACATGTTAAGTTAGTCTGACCCTGTGAACTGCTGGCCTCAGGAATCCCATGCTGCTACACTGGAATTTCTGAGATACTGCAGTTCCAGCAGGTAGGTTACTTTAAATTCAGACATGTCTTCAAAATCAATTAAAACAGCTCAGAAGAATGACTCTGTAGTACCTCAGTTATATGGATAATTTACGTATGCAATCAGTTCAGTCATTTCTACAGTAATTAAAGTGACACTGGTCAATGGGACACAGAAGACCTGACCAGATCTTCTTGGTTGTGAACACCCAAGTGCCCTGATGAGCAGCTCTCCGCTGTGCAACACGTTTACTTCTTAGGATATCACAGTAAAGATGTATAGGGCTTATACAGAAAAGCGAATTTCATGGAGTTAATAAACTTTCAGGTGAACTTCAAATGATTTTGAGTAATCTACAATACCAGGGTCCCAAAATAATAGTAAACATTGCAGGTGTGAAACAAAAGCAAATTTCTTCATCCTTTTTTATTTGAACAAAACACATTAGTTTCTCAGACCTCTATGTAACATGTAAGATTATTCCTCAGAGACAAAGTATGCATTAGAGAGCCATTTGTTCTCGGTTTCCATAACCATTTTGGACGATGGAATTGCATCACTTCAATACTGACCAGAACTTAACTTGCATTATTTGCTCTTTCCAGTATCTAACTGAAAACTTCTAACACACACCTAATGCCATTATCCTTCCTCCATCCTGAGAAATTTAAGAGAAAGTATAAGTTTTTCAGACCTGAAAACACAGTTATCCTTGATGGGTCACTTAAACACATAGCCATATCTGCAATGACGTTTGCTTTATATCCCAACAACTGGAAGGCGGAAAGAAAATGAACTGTCAAGACTCGAGCATTTGACATGAAGGAAAGGGATGCCTTCACCATTACTAAATGCTTACTGAACCTAAAATTTGGTTTCAACTTACTGCTTCACTCAGAGCTACAAGTTACATTCTTTACCTTTTTTCTTTCACAGCATAGAGAGAGGGTTAAAAAGCACAACAAAATTATTTTCTGTATTATGAGGCGAATTGTTTCCCGATATCCCATATTAGTCCATTTCTACCCCATAAAAGAACTATATTTATTATATTTCACTGACAGAACTTTGTTTCAGAACACCATACCTCCAATTATTGATGAGCCTAAAATATCACAATTACTTACAGCCCAGTACCTCATATATCTTAGCTTTTATAAATACAAGCCTTGCTAATGGCAGTTTAAGCTAAATTGCTCTTCTTTGCATTACCGAGACAATGAGTGCTTTCACAGCATCTGTTAGCAGGCTTCAGCTGAGGGGAAGCTTCATCTCAATATTAGTATCCTTCCATTTCTGCACACAGAAATACATCAACTTTCAAGGGTGCTGTGATTCAAGGCTACTGAAAACAACTAAATGACTCCACATGTGTGAACACAGTCAAGGAAAACAATTAGATGGAAGACCGAAAGTCTGACTACTAATTTGCAGTTGGCACCGTGCCCAAAGATGAGCCAGATGAAGAAGAGTATGTTCTGAGCTAGCAATCACAATGGCTCCCCAGAGGCCCCCACGTCCCCACCTCATCTCAGACAAAGAGTCTGGTATGGAGGACAGCACATTTCAAAGGTGGATGGCTTTGATTCCCTCAGGATACAAACGGGTAATATTTTAAAGCTACAATTTAAAAGTCAAATGCTGACTTCATACAAATTGAAATTCTGAAGCATGGTAAAATCCTCAGAGTATTCTTGCCAGCTCCAGAAATGTACATACAGGCAAGTCCTGCTCACCTATGTGCAACTAAGTCAACAATACTATTAATGTAGTGGCTAACTTTCCACTTGGACAGCTGTAATTTTCTCAGAAGATTTAAGTGCCAGAATTCAGGGATGAAAAGACATTTATTGAACATGCTGCTTTGGATTTAACGGTCCCAGGTTTTGCTGTGTAAATTAGGATGGACACAGAAGCTGCCACTTGAGAAATACAAATAATCTTTGCATAGCAATGCTTACTAAATTATTTTTTGTTATGTAGTCTGTATATGCCACATTTATGGCAGAAATATTTTTCTCACCATAAAGCCTTACTTTCACTAATTATGGCTCTCCTTGAACTCAGAATTCCATAGATAGTGATAAAATCTCCTCAAAGTAGGTTTTTTCATCTTGTATATGTGCATTTGGATGTAGTATTACAGACTTTTATCAGCCACTTCATACTGCAGTTCCCCATTCCTCTCTCTCTTTCCCATCCTGTAAGGGTTGTATTAGTCACCCAGTCTTCCTTCCCATCCTGTAAGGATTGTATTAGTCACCCTGTCTTCCTGTTTTTACTGTGTTTTGAGTGGGATTTTTAACATGTTAATTTTCTGCAGTCTTTTAATCTCTTTCCAGCAGTCTTGCCCTAAGACACAATCTACCCTCCTTTATGAACTCAGCTTTTGGAGTGGCCAGCTGACCCTTGCAAACAACTTAATTTTGATTGATTAATCATTGAGTTTTGTACTATATTTGCTTTGTTCACTCTGTTTTAAAACATCATATTAAAACACCCATCTTAAAATATCTTACTAGATATAGTACAATATACATAAGTGCTGGTTGGGTTTTTTTGTCTTCTTTAAACACCTGTCTTGTTTAACCTCTTCTAACTGAGATACTAACGACCCAGGAGATTCAGAACTGGCTCTTACCTAGTAATGACTACACGAGAAGCAGCAGGGGTGCCTTCTGTTTCCTTACCATTGGTATCTACTCAAAACAAAGTCTCTTTTCCTCCACATGTTCACTGTGCTTTAACTACTCTTAATT